CTATATTCGATGGAGGCGATCTGCTCGCCTCGCAAGGACGCGAACCCACGTACAAATTGTATATTATGTACTACGAGGGTGAACGTCACTATAGGCCTATATTAAATTTAAAAGCAGCTGCGGGAAGTAGGGGAGGTTACTGCATCCCTTGTAATATAGGCTATTGCGAAGAGAGGGGTCACCGCTGTTCGAATAAGTGTCCGCGTTGCAATAACGTGCCGTCGTGTGAACAGCTCGAAGTAAACGTAATCAGGTGCGAGACATGCAAACGTTCGTTCTTCGGGAACGCGTGCTTGGATCATCATCGCGCGATAAAATCATACGACGGAAAAACGCCGCGAAGTATTTGTAGTGTGATACAATTTTGCGAGAACTGTGGGCGTGTTATAAATATAACAAAAGAACACGAATGCGGCGTTTCCTTTTGTAAAATTTGTAGTTCTCTGAAACCGCGGAATCATTTGTGTTTCATGCAACCTCTTTCTCGCGAAGGTAGATCCTCCGATGACGAGTCAGTCGGAGATTCTCCCGCAATCGTGAGAGAGAATGAATGTGATAACACAAATGCGAGTGATCAAGAACATCAAAAGGGACGAACAGCCTCCGTGTTCTACGATTGCGAAACGCGACAGAACGAATCGATGAATGGCACCGAAATAAAGATCCACGTTCCAACGCTCTGCATCGCGCAACAAATTTGCGATTCGTGCGCGGAAGTTCACGATCTATCGCAACACTGCCGCTGGTGCGGCGCTCATGAATTTGTTTTTCGTCGAGATCCGGTAGGGGAATTTGTCGAATGTGTAACACGACCCACAAAAAATTTCACTCGCATTATTTGTATAGCGCACAACGCGAAAGCTTTCGACGCACAGTTCATTTTCCGTTTCATAGTCGGAAATCATTCTGGATTAGAACCTAAAGTGATTTTAAACGGTACAAAAATTATCGTTTTGACAGTAGGACGTACAAAATTTATCGATAGTATTAATTACATGCCGATGCGTTTGTCGGAATTACCGAAGGCCTTCGGGTTGCCGGATACTTGCGACAAAGGCATCTTTCCGCATCTTTTTAATATTCGCGAAAATCAAACATACGTAGGACCTCTACCAGACGTTGACTATTATGCACCCGAAACAATGCAACCTGAGGAACGCGAACGTTTCCTTGCGTGGCATGCGGAAATGACGAGACAAAACACCGTATTCGATTTCCAGCGTGAAATTGTCACTTATTGCCGTACAGACGTAAATATTCTTCGGCGAGCATGCCTGTCATTTAGAAAAATATTTTTAGAACATGGAAACGTGTGCCCATTCGCGGAATGCACGACTATCGCCTCGACGTGTATGAGAGTTTTTCGAAAAAACTTTCTGCGTAAAGAGGAAATAGATATCATTCCGACGGGTGGCTATAGAATGAATGACAATCAGTCGCGCAAAGCCGTACAGTGGTTGATTTTGAAGGAGCGTGAGATCGGTTGTCGTATAATTCACACGGGACATGGTCGTGAATATAGATTAACGGAAGGGATGTTGATTTTGAAGGAGCGTGAGATCGGTCGTCGTATAATTCACGCGGGACATGGTCGTGAATATAGATTAACGGAAGGGATGCTCGTCGACGGATATTACGAGTGTGAGAACGCTGGTGAGACGCAACGTTACGTATTGCAGTTCCACGGTTGCTTCTTTCACGGATGCCCGACTTGCTATCGAATAAATCGCGATGAAAAAATCGGACAGAATTCGAAAGATACGCTTGACGCGCGTTATGAACGAACGATTGCAACAACCTGGCGGGTACGGTGTGGACATATCGTGATGGAAAAATGGGAATGCGCTTTTGACGAGGAAATGCACGCGGATCGGGAGGTGCGTGAATTCGTCGAGAAACACCCGATGATACAAATCGCACCTCTCGATCCTCGTGATGCGTTTTTCGGTGAGCGTACTGGCAATATCGTGACACGATACGCGGTTGAGGGTAACGAGAAGATACGTTACGTAGACGTATGTTCTTTGTACCCTTATATTCTCAAAACTGGTGTTTTTCCAATTAAGCATCCTGACATCTTCGTAGGAGATGAATGTAGTGTGCTAATTGGAGAAGCACCAAATTTCAATTTCGATCGGGTTACGGGACTCGTGCGTTGTTGTGTGCTGCCCCCGCGCGACCTTTTTCATCCTGTATCGCATCCGTGGGAAATTATTATTCTCGCTTTGTCGCACATGCTGCGAAACATTTTCTCAATCTGCTTGCGCTCACGACGAACCATCGGAACGTGAGTTTGAGGGCACGTGGGTGTCGTGTGAATTGCGCAAAGCAGTTGAGAAAGGTTATCTCGTGACACGGGTAGATGAAATTTGGCAATACCAGTGTACGAAAGGGTTGTTTGCCGGGTATATTAACACCTTCTTACAATTGAAGCAAGAAGCGAGGGGGTGGCCTAGCGAGTGCGAGGGCGATGAAATTGCGAAAGAACGTTACCTTCGAGAGTATGAAGCAACAGAGGGTGTCGTTCTTGATAAAAATAATATCACATGAAATCTCGGATTACGCTCCGTCGCCAAACTTTGTCTCAATTCGTTTTGGGGAAAATTCGGTCAGCGGACAAACCTCGCGAATACCGAAGTAGTAAGAACCTCCCAACGATTCGCTGAGTCATTGTCAAGCCCTGAGCATGAGATAATCGGAATATTACCCGTCAACGATGAGGTGATGTATGTTTCGTGGCGTTTAAGACGCGAAGCGGTAGTACCCTCTCCAATAACCAACGTGGCAATAGCGGCGTTCACGACAGCACAGGCACGCTTAAAATTGTATGAATATTTAGAAAAATTAGACAGACGTGTCTTGTACTACGACACCGATTCATGTATATATACGAGCAGCGGAGATCCCGATGAGTACGAACCGCGTACAGATAACTTTTTGGGAGAGATGACGGACGAACTCGCTGATTACGGACACGGTAGCTTCATCGAGACATATCCGGTTGAAACAAAAATCGCTCTAAGTCCGCACGATGATAAGCGATATATCGTGCCAGGTTCCACCGATACGCTGCCATGGGGACATTACCGATGTAAATAAATTTGTATAGTATATATTTAATAAGTATATTTTATACATTATGTATATGTATGAACATATGTATGAACGTATGTATAAACGTATGTACCATATGTATAAACATACATATGAACGTATGTATGAATGTATAAACGTATGTACATATACGTATGAACGTATGTACGTATATGTATGAACATATGTATAAACGTATGTATTGCGACCGCCTTATAGTGTATAATTTCGCATTGTGTATAATACAGTATCTCACTTAAGTTAGGCTAAGTCGCTGATTTTCCCCTTTCTACTGTACTTACCCTGTTTGTAAGTAAAAATATAGAACGCTAAGTCTAAATTTTACGTCAATAATTGGGCGCCAGACACGAAAGAGCGTGCCACTCTTTCTGAGATCTTTTCGGTACGTTCTCACTCTAAAATACGGAGATGTAGAGACTCACGAATGCGGACGGCTCTGATAACCGACTGCTCAGTCACGATAATGGCAGAGGGGGTGGTTCGTGGTCGGGAACGGAGGATCTTTGGAGAACGAGCAAGGCGAGAAAC